TTTTTTTGATGGCGTCTCTCTGTCACCAGGCTGGAGTGCAATGTCACGATCTCGGCTCACTACAACCTCCGCCTCCCGGGTTCAAGCGACACTTCTGCCTCAGCCTTCCGAGTAGCTGGGACTGCAGGCGCGCACCACCACGCCCAGCTAATTTCTTTTCTATTTTAGTAGAGATAGGGTTTCACCGTGTCGCCCAGGCTGGTCTCGAACTCCTGAGCTCAGGCAATCCTCCCGCCTCTGCCTCCCTAAGTGCCAGGATTACAGACGTGAGCCACCGCGACCAGCCTCATTTTAACCATTTTTAAGGGTATAATTCAGTGACAAATTAGTTACTTTTCCAGTGTGCAAATATCACTGCTGTTTCCAAAACCCTTTGATGACCATAAACAGACTCTGTACCCATTAAGTAGTAACTCCTCATTTTCCCTCCCTCTAGCCCCTGCTCACATCTAAGCTACTTTCTGTATCTGAGTTTTCCTGTTCTAGTTATTCATATAACTGGAATCATTCAATGTTTGTGCCTTGTTTCTTTCACTTAGCATAGTGCTTTCAAGGTTCATTCGTGTTGTAGCATGTGTCAGAACTTTATTCCTCTTATGGAGGCTGAATAATATCCCATTGGGTGGATGTGCCACATTTTTAATTTAATTTAATTTTTTATTTTTTTGAGGTGAAGTCTCGCCCTGTCACCAGACCGGGAGTGCAGTGGCGCCATCTTGGCTCAGCAACCTCTGCCTCCCGGGTTCAAGGGATTCGCCTGCCTCAGTCTCCCGAGTAGCTGGGACTACAGGTGCGCACCACCATACCCAGCTAATTTTCGTATTTTTAGTAGAGACGGGGTTTCACCGTGTTGGCCAGGATGATCTCGATCTCCTGACCTCGTGATCTGCCTGCCTCAGTCTCGCAGTGTTGGGATTACAGGCGTAAACCACTGCGCCCGGCCAATGTGCCATATTTTAAAAAATCCATTCATCCATCCTTGGACATTTGAATTGTCTCCACCTTTTGGTTACGTGTGAATAATGCTGCAGGGAACACTGTGCAAGTATCTGAGTCCCTATTTTCCATTATCTTGGTATATACCTAGGAGTGTGATTGCGGGATCATATGGTAATTTTATGTTTAACTTATTGAGGAATGGTTTGTTTTCCACAAGGCCTGTACCTTTTTGCATTCCCACCAGCCATGTACAAGGGTTCCAATTTTTCCACATTCTTCTGAATACTTATTTTCTGGATGTTTTTGTTTTTCTTTTTTAGCATAGCTTTCACACCTTAGTATAGGCGTGACGTGACATCTCATTGTGATTTTTTTTTTTTTTTTTTTT